TTTCTTTAGGTGATAGACAGTGCGATAGCGGCATTCTGCTTAGAAATAATAGCACGACACGCTGAGCCCGCGCCGAGGTTGTGCAACAAGGATCCACTCACCCTGAAGATGGGCTCGTACATCCTCGAGCTCTTCCCGAACGCAAAATTTATATTCATGGTGCGCGACGGACGCGCGACGGTGCATTCCATCATATCCAGGAAGGTAAAAAAAAGCTTTACGTAACAACGTTACGTTATTCTCCAAAAATATGTTTGGTTGTTCGACAGTTATGTCATTCTTCTGTCGAAATAAGCTTTAAATAAAATTACTGATTAAGTTTTGTAACTAAGAAACTTTTTTCTATTAATTGCTTTTTGCGTTTTTTTCTCATTTTTAATATTGCAAATCATTATAATAGCATCCCGCATTTCGTTACGTGTGTTCCTTCACATTTTAAATACACATTTTTTAAATTATAGAATTATTTTTCTTGTACATCTATATATATAATATATATATATATACATATAAAATAGTTCAATACGATTCTCTCAGCGCCTTCTTTTCATAGGTCACCATAACGGGATTTGATTTAACGTCATATCGGCAGTCTCTCATCAGGTGGAATCACGCAATTTCTGTAATGTACGGTCAATGCAAGGAACTGGGGCCTGAGAGATGTCTGATGGTCCCTTACGAGCAGCTGGTGTTACACCCGCGCCAATGGATGAAGAAGATATTAAACTATCTGGACGTACCGTGGAACGAGTCTGTCATGCATCACGAGGAATTCATTAACAAACCCGGTGGAGTGCCTCTGAGCAAGTAAGCGAGAAGAGTGGAGGAAATAGCAGCGCATTTAAACTTAACAGTTGTTACCGAATTCGAGCGAAATGCATGTATACACGTTAAAATAATGCATGAAAATAACGTCGTTAATCTTGAATATGTATTAATGTTATAATGCATTTCGTATTAATAATGCGAAAATTATGTAACAGTGTAACAAAATAATTTTCGCGTATTAATATCAGAACAATAATACGATAAATTAATTTTTCACATTATCAGCATTAAAGTAATATTTATACAATGTAGTAGAATGACGTTCTGCTAAATTAATATAACGAAATTAATAAATGTGTATATAGAATCACGTTTCGTATTAATATCAAAATCATGTTTGACGACAGGGTCGAGAGGTCATCGGACCAAATCATAAAGCCTGTAAATCTGGCAGCGCTAACCAAATGGGTCGGTAACATTCCCGAGGACGTGGTGAGAGAGATGGCAGACATCGCACCAATGCTCTCCGTACTCGGCTATGATCCTTACGCGAATCCGCCCGTTTATGGCGCACCGGACAGTTTAGTTAGCGACAACACCAGACGGTACGTTCCCATTTGTTACGCTGCATGGCTGTTACAGTTGTTACATATAGTATTGCTCATGAGCGATGTATATTCAAACGGTGTACCGTGAACCAGAATTAAACCGAAATGGGACGAAATTATTTTGACATATTGCAGGAATACAAAGCGAAATGGATATTACGGTCGAGCTTTTAAATTAATCAAAGATTCTTAAATAAAGATTTCTTTCAATAATTAAACTTAATTTTAAATTGTGAAGAGAATCTTGTGTTACAGATTTTTATCAGTATTCATATCAAATAGTATTTATCGATTAATCATTGTTTACTTTGGATAATCTAAAATAGCTTTTTAATATGGTGTTAAAATATTTTTGCAAGAGCGAAAATAACGCCCGATGTTTATATTAAAGGATTTTGTAAATATATCCGATTTCTGAAGGAGTAAAAGCATCAACTATGAATTCTAACCGAAGTGAAAGCATTATAACTGTTCGGTTTATATATGTTCAATTTCTGCCTTTCAGAGTGTTGGCTGGTGAAAAACTCTGGGAGGAGAAGGCGCGGGCGTACCATCTATCGCATAGGCCAATCGAGAACAGCAATGAGGAAGCTGCTTCCAGCACAGCCCCAGTCGCGTGACCCCGCGTGATTCTCATAGACACGAACGACACGTAACCGACTACCAACTTAAGTCCCATCGATTTAGGATTCCCGCGTATACGGAGAGACCACTCTGTTGTACTTTCAAAGTAAACTCGGTCTCACACGACGCCGACGATGAATCGCGTCGTGAATTAATCGCTCTTGTCGTATTTCCTCAGTCTCCGTTATCGCATCGCGACAACGATAAATTAATCGATCATTCCTCGCGACGCTTATTTATTCGCATAAGGATCGCGCTTCACGAAGACAGATGACGTAATGTACTAAGCCGTGACTAGAAAATAGGATGCACCCGAAATAAGCGGTCAAACTTCGAGAGACGGGCTATTCCGTTATTTGACAGTTCATGAAGCACCGATCAAGCGTTCCTTTTGCGACATACCCCTTTAAAACGAAAAGAAGCGCAAAGTTCGTTCTAAGATGAAACTTCTATGAATTTTCTCAGCGTTCTTGCTGTATTCTACCGCAGACGAAAACTGTAGGAGCAAGTATCTAACTCGGAGAAAGAGAGAAACAAGACACATAATCGTATGACTTTTTCGTCTTCAGAACAAATAGAATAAATTCCTAATGTTTGGTCGTTTATTTGCGGACTCTCTTGTATATTACCGCGATAACTATATAATATATATAGTTATAGTAATATTTTTAATAGTAAAAATATTAATTTAAAAGATTTTTTTTTATGCAATAACGAAACAAATCTACATAATTTCGTTTTATATATTCTATACTTAAAATAGATTTCACGAATTATGGTTACAAATTCAATATTAGATATTGATCCTTTTATTTCTTCTGTATAATATTATTTACAAATTTATTTTTAAATTAAAAAATAAGAAATATTTAAAAAGGAGCTTTTTATTAATTAACTTGTTATCATATGACAAACATTCATTTATCCGTAGGTATTTTATAAATAACATTACAATGTCGTAATGTTATGAGTTAGACTTTAAATCGACGATACCATCATTGTCTACTATGTATAGTCAAGAACAATAAGCATGAAATGCGTCGCACTAGCGATAAAGCAACTTCGAACATTGCGTATTATGAAGGATCGGACCCTAATAGAGATTATCAGAGATTTCAGTAAGTTGAATTCTGTAGCAATGCTCTAGAAAAATGCAAAGAATTTTCTAATTGTTACGTTTTTATGTCACAACAATTTTTCAATGTGAGAATAATTTTTATGTACTCGTAGAAAGCTATAACGTTAAGTTATGGGTTCGGCCTTCTTTTATTAAATGACATCGATCAACAACGGCCAGTGATTTTAAAGAGAAGTGTTTAGAGTATTTAGCAAGAGACATACTTCAGACGTGTAAAGAACGGGAGAGTAAAACTTCTCTCTTTTTTTCCCTTCACAAATAAAGTCTCTGGTTGGTCGATACAGGGGGATATAATCCAACGCGAAATTCTAGAACAATTCAACATTAAATGCGATTATCCAATTACACGGGGCAAAATTATGCAAAAACGAGTTAACCTGTCAGTGGTAATTTTAGATAAATTAAATTAAAAAACCCCTGGGTTTTATGTTGCCGACACAGCAGTGTGGGCTAAGTACACGCAACTTATATTTATTCTTTTTTTTTTGTTCTGGGTAAACTCGTTCATGTATAACACCGTCCAATTAACGTATGTATGTCTACAAAGTTCGCGTACTGGTGTTTTTATCCTCCGTACCTCCACCGCATCGTTTTACTACTTATTGTAACGAATTCACGTGAAATTAAATGAAATTTTTCATGTTCGCCATATTTTTTAGATAGCGTAATTCATCTATGGCGTTTTTAAGTAGACCTTTTCGGTCGATATCTGTTTAAAGAAATAATAAATTGCAAATATATTTCTGATATATAATATTAGAAATTAATATTGGATTGGTATCAAAGCTTTGTCATCAAAGAAAGTTAAAACTTCGAAAAACTAAAACAGTTTTATATAGTTTTATTTCTATCAATCGAGAGAAATAGAAAGAGTTCACAAAATTAAAAATATTTTTCCTTAAATTTTCTCTCTTATATAAAGAGTTCAACATTCTTCAATCTTTGATTAGAGAAATAGAGTTTAATGGAAGGATGACAAAACTTTTAAATCAATCTGATATTTATGTAAGTGTAAATAATATCCGTGAACTCAACCATGGTTTGGTTGTGGTACATTTTTGTTCATGGATCCCCTGAGTTATATTATAATTTTAAAAAAGGAACAACACCGCTATGATAGCAAATGGCAGCAGACATGCATAAGCTTGTCAAAATCTATCTGTCAAACTGTGCAATTAAATTATTTTAATATTACATTGCTCTATTATATCCAATCCTTATTCCTCATTTTACCTCTAATCTGAAAAAGAGCTTACAGTTTATTTCAATATCACGTATATTTCATCATAAAGTTAATTAATATAAATAGAATATTTTGAATCATTTCAATTATTAATTTATTACAAAATTCAATTTCTATTAAATTTAATTTTGAAGTTAATGTACATTAATCTTGTGAAAATGAAAATTTTATTACATGTGTGTGTGTGAGAATATTAATAATGTACAAATTCTTTTAACGATGATAACATTGCTATATCATTATGTGTATTATGGATATTAATGTCTTAACATAATTATACGTATATGTTGACATATTTACACTGTTAAATCTATAGTGTCAAATTTATATAACTTAACGTGAGTCGCCACTGCTCCTACTCAATCATATCGTTATTTTATACTAAAACAATGGTTATATTTGACACTATATGTATAGTGTCAATTTGATACTATATAGTGTCAAATTGACACGATATAAAGTCAATTTAACTATCGTTTTGGTAAAAAATAATATATTTAATAGGAGCAGTGGCGACTCACGTTAGGTTAAATTTGACACTATAGATTTAACAGTGTAATCTTAAAAAAATTACATATTTAAATACTGTAGGACAAGTTGACTTTATAGATTCGGGGAGTTATGTTTAAAATGAAAATCGATTTTTAGTGTACATTGAGTAAACATCTAAAATCTCGAGAACAATATATAAAAATATATTTCTATTATTTTATTTACTGATTATTATCATAAATCTTAGATTTTTAGTAGAAATTCGATAACGATATTCACATTAAGTAGCTTCTACGACGGCTTTCGATATTTCGCCTGTACCCATACTCTATACATTTTCAACTGTTTACCTCTATTAACTTGCAGCCTTCTGTCCATGAAGTTTTGTTCCTCGATGAAACCATTACCGGTAAATAATTTTCTAATATTCTCTGAAAAAATTTCAATAAAATGTTCGATGAAACGTTAGGAGCATCAAATTTTAATTATTAATAATTCAATAGACTATGCTAATTCTAATCTGGAAATTTGTTCATATAGCAATAAGAATAACGTATTTAGATTACAATACTAATTTAACATTTTAAAGTTTACATACCTTGAGAAAAAAAGTACACTCTGGTGCCATCTCCACGCACATAGAAATTCTCACCGAGGCAATTACCCTTCTTAAATCTCAATTGCGCTAAATCGTGTCTGCCATAATCACGAAATAAAATTATTCCACCTGGTTTAAGATACCTGTACATTTGCCGCATAACATGTTGCATCCTACAGAATATATCAAGAAAAATATTAACAACTTTATCTTTTCTGTCCAAGACTTTTTAATTTGCTATTTTAATTTTCCACATATATAATATTGATATTTATATTTATAAAATTTGTTATTAGTTTGGAAATATACAATTTGTTCATCTAAATTTATATATTTGTATATATATTATATATAAGATATTAATAATCAGTAATATTAAACATACTTGTCAGGATGAATGGCAGACAATACGAATATAAGAACGATGATGTCTAAACTTTCAGGCTCAAAAGGAGTTGTCCACATTTCTTGAGTTACGTCCAAAACAAATGCTTTACATCTAAAACAAACAAGTTGTACAAATGTATTTACGCATTATGTGGCGTAGATAATTTACGCTACTATACTTTCTATTAAATGATGTTAAATAAATTTAAACACATTTTAGAAAATTTTACCTATCTACATTATATGTAGGATTTTGTTGTAATATATTAATGGCTTTCGCCGAAAAATCACAACAATATATAAACAGCTTTGGGTCTGTATTATACATGAGTATAGGGAATACAGTGTTTCCTACACCACATCCTATTTCCAATATTCTACAATTGTCTTTACATGGTAAATCGAGGATTTTTATGTGTTTTTCACCACATTTTTTATCTTCATCTGTAAATGCAGCTCTCATGGGCCTTTCCATGTCCTGTTTTATGGTATTAGGTGCCAGTTCTGGAAACTCAATTAGCAACCAATGCCTGTCTTTAAAAAACCTACAATAATAAATGCATTAACTAAAAATTCATTGCACTGATTCATTGAATAAATAATATTAGATTGATTACATTATCTAATATTCTAAACAGTAGAGAAAATATTTTTGCTTAGACCGCATACATACCCATTATTATGTATTCCATAAAATTTGTCCCAATATTTATCTGCTTCAATTTCATATTTAAAGAGTTGCTCAGATGACATCGTAATAGTAGAATTTTCATCTACTTTCTGTTGCGCTAACTTCTCTTGTTCTTCATCCCATGTAACATTATCCCTTTTAGAACAGTAAATTTAATCATTAAATATTCAATCATTAAGGGATAGATATATTGAAGTTATAACGAAATTGAGACTTTACTATCCTTTTTCCAATATCAAATACATATAAAACAGAACATAGCAATTATATAAACAGTTGATATATATAAAATTATATTACTTATATTATTTTATTATATTTAATAAAATAAATTTTAATTTTAATGAATGAAATAGATGTGAAATAAAAAATAAACGAGCAAGTAAAAAAAAATATAACAATAACAATCTTTACACAGTTCTTAAATTTAGTTGGTTGCATTTATAACAAAATAAATACAAAAAAAGGAAATGAGGAAAATAAAAATAAAGCATAAAATATTGGGTATAATATTTATTACGTATGAAATCATATAAAATAACATCACGAAAGTGATGAACCCAATCGAAAACAGTTTCTAGGTTAGAGTACGCCTATCATACAACAAATACACATAGTCTAAAATCAATCAACGATTGTTCAAATAAAAGAAAAAATATATATTCAAATTTAAAAAAAGACAATCACAATAAATATCGCGGTTAATATAAGTATTTTTTTTTTACTCTGCAGCTTCTTTTAGGTTAGGCTGAACACGCGCTCGGTCGAATTTCAAATCGAGCAACGTCACACGCGCGTGGAGCCACGACGTACCATGCATTGTGCTGGAAGACGTTTCCATCGTGCGGTAAATTCCGCGTTCCGAATTGTGGCCTCCTCGTTTCTGGGTCGTCGTTATCCGCGATTGTCGTCACTCCAGCCATGTTCGACAACGCGCCAGCGAAACGACACGCGGCGTGACGCGGCACGCCACACGAGGTTCGTTCTCACACGCAGCGTGACATTCATTAACATCCATACAATCTTCAGTAACTCTACAGCTAATAGAGATCCATGATTTCTAAGATAGATGTCAATAAATGCTTCTAGACAAATCTACCACAGACATCCACGAGACGTCAATTAGAGATGTATATAGTTTAGGACGCGGCACCGCCGCTAGATGGAGACAGCAGAATTTAATTTCTTATATTTAAAAAAAAGGAGAGGTAGCGAAATTTTTCTCTTCACTTACTATATGTTTTAAAGAAGATTTCTTAAAAGAGAGAGTTTCCAAAATTAGTCTAATCTGTAAATGAAAGTAAATGGACAATACGATTTTGTTTAATTTCGTATAATATTAATTAATTGAGGAATCTGATATATATTGTTAAATATTAGTATTTTGTGTTTGCTGAGAATCTATTTATAAAATTTTAAAATTAACATCTATTAGTCGTCTATTAAAGAATTGTGAAACATCTACGATCAATCTATATAATTTCTGCAGAAACATGAATGCGAAATGTAGAACTATATGGATATCTGATGTGTGTCTAATATCTCTGTTTCTATCAATCTCGGTTTAATTATTACACTTCATCTTTTTCTAATTCTTATTAGAAAACGATGAAGAGAGGATTAAACTGGAGATTAAAGTTAATCTACATTGATACAAATTTAACGGACATTGTACTCAGAATTAGAAAAAGATAAAGAGCTGGTTGAACCGAGATTAATTAAACTATGTTGGTAGAAATTGCTATAATCCGTGGAATTCTTTTCAACTGAACTTTCTGCACAGGAATGCGTTAATTCAAGGTATATTATTTTATCCTTAATTGCTGTTATTCACCAAATGTTAAACAAGGATAAAATTATATCTGAGTGTATATAAAATTTCTAAATACATAAATTCAACTTTTTCTCTCCATATTGGAGAAGAAATGATGAACCATGTAAGAAATTCGAAAGGTTAGAAAGAACAGGACTATAGTTGCACGTTCCCTCGTTTCGGCACTTTCGATATGAAGACCTAGCGATTGCAACCATACCATTTGTATTGATTAATTACATAAAACCGAAGATATGCAAAGTAAATCGATTTGAAGAATGATAACCCATTACAAGATTAGATTAGAGAAGTTTTCCAAACAGAACAACAAGTCACGATAACGTCAAAATGATTAAAATGAATCGGAAATGATTGAAAAATGACTTTTAATGATCATTTCGAAGTCATTTTGATATAATTTTGTTATCATAATGATTTGTTGTTCTGCCTGGGATTATAATTAGGATCTGAAAATAAAATACGCGCATTTTTTAACAGGGAGATGTAAACAGAGAAATATACAACTAATACAGCTAAATGAAACAGAATCACTCTCATCTTATTTTCTGTCTCAAAATAACATCAGACGTGATAAAATGAAACGAGTTAACGAATGGAACGATAATGACGTCTTGTTCTCCAAACAGATCCTATATATTTTATGATGAACGAGAATATGAAGCACTTCGGAGACGCCAATCAAGTGTCTCCACCCTCTTTTTTTTCTCTCTCTCTCTCTCTCTCATAAAATTAAGGATCCGTTCATTCTTTTCGGCATGCAAATAGAATTATAGGCCGCGTATTTTCGCGGCGGCGTGCGTTCGATCGCGCGCGCGGCCGCAGGATCAACGACCTAAGGAAAGTGAGAGAAAGAGGGAGATATAGGTTAGGTTGAGGGTATGCGCGCGAGGTATGCGGAAGCGGGATGGGTGTGACGCGACGCGCCGCGACGCGAGGGGTGCAAGTTGCGAGGGTGGCGCAAGTTGCGTCACCGGATGCTCTATGTCGTGCAGGGGCGAATCTCGCGCTCGTTGCACTTGGATCCATTTTTCTTCTTCCTCTTGCCTTTATTTCGGCACTCAGACGCGTCCTCTTAAATATCTAGATATCGAATTTTGAAAATACAAATTAGCGCGTCACTTTACGAGCAGTAAAGTTCCGTTGGGATGAATTAATCGATATCCACGAACAAATATACTTCTTCATATTTTGGTACATTTTTGAGTACTGGGTACCTATCATGGAACAAAGTCGGAATGGATTCCGATCGGAATTATTCCGTTTTCTCCAGAAAATACAATAGAAATCTAGGGAATAATTGAATAATTTCGATCGGAATCCATTCCGACTTTGTTCTATAATAGGTACCCTGATATCAAACCTGAGAATGACGAACTTGTTTGCACTTTGTCTCAGAGAATAAATGGATAATTCGATATCTTCATCTGGTCTATTAGTTTCCAAATACAGTATCTCGTTTGGGCCTACTATTTTTAGAAAAATCGATTTTGAAGATACCAATAGGATTAGCGGAGAAGCTGCCCTATTTGAGATTTAGACGAATTATTGAATTAAAAGAAACCCATCTTTATGGATGCAGCGAATAGGGAAAAAGAAATCTTGTGTAAAACTCTGATTTTATACATGTATATTTTAAAATGCATTTACTGTTATACTCTCTAAATCTGAATCAGTGGATAATCACTGATATCAGTGCCAAGTATGCCACTGGTAATCAGTAAATGAAATGTAAGATCCCTATCCTAGCTGATCTTTATTATGTGATCTAACCAACCTTGTTTTAGTGCATAAATTCAATAAATATGGAATTGGAAGATTGAAATTAACATGCAAATATCAGTATTTTAGTTATATAATGCTCGAATATTCTTCCTCTTTTAATTGAACTTCACTGATTATCAGTGCCAAGTATGCTACTGAGTAATTAGTGACTATCCACTGATTCAGATTTAGAGAGTAAAGTAGATATTAAAATCAACAAATAGTAAAAGTTGATGGAGACATATTCAACAATTTTTTAGAGTAAATCCTGGTGTTGGAAGCTTAAAAATTTAGTTTCACAAAAAATTCTAAATCTTTATTGATCATTTTGACATTCTTGTCCTTTCGATCTTTTCTCGCTAATTTTTTTAACGATGCACGCGAAATTTATTCGAGTTCGAAACGTTCATTCATCTCTGTTCTCGAAATTGCAATCGATGTGCAAAATGATGTACACGGCACACAGCGGCCAGAGATACGAATTCACCTCGCCCATCATTCAGCTCACAGGATATTTCCTCTTGCAGTCGCCCCTGTTCGATTCGATCGGCTCTCGCGCGAGGACGTGCCGCGATCGTTCGTACGCGAGAATGCTTTCCCGTCGGCGACACAGCCGATAGCCCTTCGGTAAAATGAGAGACGAAGCATGGAGGGCGACGAGAGAGGACGCGAAGAGGTGAGAAGAGGAGCGTGCGCGCGATTCCTGGCAACCGGTTGCCAAGGGCCACGAGGTCCTCGCGCCGCTCCTGCATGCGCCGCCTCGTCGTGGGTGGCTACCGTGACGTCCTAATCCTGCCGCGAGTCCCTAGGGGCGAGATCGATACACACCGTGATCCGTTTCCCTTTCCCTTTCCCTCCCCGTCCTTCTCCGCCGCGGCCGCTCCCGTGTTTTCGCGCGCGACGGGTTAGCGCTCATCGATCTCGCTCGGCGAACTCTCATCGGAGACGAAAAAAAATGGATGGAGGGGGGTAAAAAATAAAAGGTGAAAAAACGGGGAAAGCTTGATTCTCGCTCATCTACCGAAAACTGATCTCGCGTGATTTAGCTCGTATAATCGCGAGACACGCGTCGCTGGAAAACCGTTAAATTCGATCGAAAGTAAAGGTCGCAGGAGCTTCTTATTAACTCGATTTGGATTCATATTTCTTGCCCTCTTAGTGAGATTTCATAAATCTTGCAGTTTCGTTAAATGAACTTCCTGTGAGAAACTCGGGTCCAACAATCTCACAATGAGTTTTCGATCGCAGCGAGCTGTATACTTAGTGGAACTCACGCTTATACTGGAGGTCATTAGCATTAGATACATCCAAAATTTTTTAGCTCTACCCCAAAATATACTTCTTTATTCTTACTGCACCGAAAAATAATCTCGTTTAAAAAAATATATGAATATAAATTTATTACGCTTAATTTAAATTTAACAGCTTGCAAATCAAGGATCAATATCGATACGTTAGAAATATTTGACCTAGGACAAGTTCGACGCGAATGCAGCTTCTTCCTTTCGATCCTTTCGGATTCTGCGGACTTTAAACAGACTTTCTTGAAAGACCATTATTGATTCCCTCTTCGGACAATCCTCATGGCAATCCGCAAAGAGTCTTATCCGCAGCGCTACTTGGACCCTCGGCCAATCGTCATCTTGCATTCTTTTGTTCCTGCGACCCGCAAGGTTTGGCGACGAAAAGAGGGACGAAGAGGAAGGGCAAGGTTTGACCTTTTCGAGGGGACGGGCGGGACGGGTAGGACAAGGGTTGGTTCGACGCCTGTCTTTTGGGGCATCGGCCCTTGCCTCGCCGAGGCAGGGTGAGCAGGGGCGGGTGAGGAGGACCTACGCGTTATTGAGCGACCATTTCCCACAAAGCGCAGACGAGGGCAACCACCCCGACGAAGCGCGCGGAATCCTCTTTCTCTCTCCCTCTCTCCCTCCCCCCCTCTCTCTCTCTGTCCCTCCGTCCTCACTCCAGCCCGACTTCTCTACCCTCCGCCCTCCGCCCTCGTCCTTTCGTCCCTTTGCGCGCTGCTCTCCCTTCGGTCTGCTACGAGCGGGAGAACCTTTCCGAGACACGGATAATGCACCACCTGCATTGACGCATCTTCGAAAATTTTCAGCGTATTTTACTCCTCGGTCATTGGCCTTAATTCTATACCTTCCATAATTTTGAAACTGTTTCTAAACTACCATCAAGCTTATGTTGGATTATATTACAAGAGAATAGAGATTTTTAGATAGAGAGAAAGAGAGAGAGAGAAAATTTAAAATTAGTTTAATATTATTTAATAATATTGAGAATAATAAAAATGAAAGGAAAATAAATCGAAAAATAAAATAATGAGGATTTTCAATATTTTACATAAAATCTAAAATTATATCTATGTATTTCTTTATCATAATATTTTAACGTATAATATATTATTTGTGGAGATTATATGTACCATGTTCTAGTGAAGCTCCATTTGGGGTCGTTGTCATTTATCGATTGA